AGGGCATTGGAATAGCCATCAACTTCCTTTCAAACTTATGCGTGCAAATATAGTTTTTATTATTAATTCGAATACGTTGTGACAAAAATGTTAATACATTGGCTTACTGAACAGTCAATGAAACCTCATCGGTGAGGGAAATATATCCTAATTTTCATAATTTACGAACATATAAGTTTGGCAATGGTAGTATTTATACAGGGTGACCGTTAAGTCTTAGGACGACTTTATAACTTTTAAACGACAAACGATATCACAACAACATTTGGTATACCGTTACTGGAAATTGTAAGCTACTATTCTGTGTACATGGTGGTCGGATATCACCTTTAGGGGACGGCTTGTCGGGGGTCAGAAGAAAATCTTTAATGACAGCCTATGTTGAGTTGTACATCATTTTAAAGGTCTACTTCAACTGAAAACAATGCCGCAAACCGCACTTCAAAAGGTTGATCCTGCGCAAAATGGCAGATGTTCAAAGATTTTCAAAATTAGCCAATTTCTTTAAATTAAAACACTTTTTTAAATCTTTAAACAACTGTCATTTTTTAACGGATGGTCCTTTTGAAGTACGGTTTGCGGCATTGTATTCTACTAATAAATACCTTTAATTTGATGTGCATATCTACCTATGCTTCCATTCAAGATTTACTTCCGACTCCTTGTGGGCCGTCACCCTGAAGAGTTATTTGGATCACTGAATGTGAATTTATAGGAATTATTTTAAAGAGGATTTTAAGCAAAGAAGAATGCCGCAAACCGTACTTCAAAAGGACCATCCGTTAAAAAATGACAGTGGTTTAAAGTTTTAAAAAAGTGTTTTAATTTAAAGAAATTGGTTAATTTTGAAAATCTTTGAACATCTGCCATTTTGCGCAGGATCAACCTTTTGAAGTGCGGTTTGCGGCATTGTTTTCAGTTGAAGTAGACCCTGTATAATATTCGAATGCCTTATTTAAATTTACAAATAATTAGTCTTTGTAGTATAGCAAAAAATAACGTTCAAAACGCGAGTGAAAGTATGTTATTACATATTTCTTGACCAAAGTGCTCGATAAATCTCGCAATTTAACTGTATGATCTCAGATATGTATTGACTCACTTTCTATACTTGCTATAAAATATATTATTGTAATCAAGATTTAACATGTTACCCAATTACGTAGATAAACATAGTTAATCAATCTCATTAACAGATTTAGAAAAAAAGGTTTACTAAATAAATACCAAACTGATTCAAAAACTAAATTGTTAATAGTATATTTCACCACTAGGGCCTAAATTTACTCTTTTTGACCCAAGGTCAAGTTTTACGTTCGAGGCGAATCCGAGGTCGAAAAATGAGCAAGGGTTGAAAAGTCACTTTTTGCCCGTGTGGCGAACTATATTTTTCGTCACATTGCATCATTAATTAGCAAACAAAGATAGAACACGAAATATTCTTTACGTAAAGATAATCTCTCAAAACGACTTTCTTCTTGTTTTAAATTCTGCCAATGCAAAAAGCAGCTGTTTAGTAAGTGATTCAATCATTTTCTCTATTACGATTGTGTTACAGTACATTAGTACATTATACCATCGATAAGTCGAGCAATCGAGTGCAAAAGTCTACCTTACCAAATAAATCAATCGATAAATAATTTCGATATATACGATTCCCACAAATCAAAACTTACAACTGTTGACAACAGCGGATTTTGACTCCCTAGAGAGTAAAAATGCTACCTTAGACCCGCAAAGCATGCATTAAAAACGGCTGTTTTTTCTGCAGTATGAAGGAAATATTTTTACGTCATGCAAAGAGTAGAAACGTAACTTTCTTGCTTCAACGTAAAAAATTTTTTGATTTAATGATTTCCGACAAATGATCAATTCATGAAGCATAGGCGGTGGCCGCCCAGAGTGTACTTGGCATTCAAGCAAGCAGAATGACGTGATAAAAGATGCTTTTTAAATTCTTACCATTAATAAAATGACTATAATAAATAAATTTTTTTATATCACTATTTATCTACCGTCCTTTTCCAAATTGCTAAACCAATTTCATAAATGTTTGTCTATTATTCCGGTTATCTAAAGGATTATTCAAACATTGCATGTGGTCGGAACATTAAATCATGAATTGGATATTTGAACTGCATAGAATTGGTAGTAAATATCTGTTGTTTAACATATACACGTATTTTCCTGTTATTTGCTGTTATTCAAAGGTCTTTTGTGGAATCCCATTCATAATAAAAGAAATTTAGTTCGATCTAAATCGTTTCTGTGGACGTTCATTTTGTAAATTATGTAATAAAATAAAAGTTCTAAATAGATTTCCATCTTTGAAATCGTATGATTCCAAAATAAAATCGTAGATTTAGCATTTTACTTATTAACAGGTATTAAAGTAAAAGTACCAAACGATCTTTCATATCCAATAATGTTTTAATGGCTGTGTTTTGCCTATTGTATATATATATATATATATATATATATATATATATATAGCCTAATTCCATACTCACTAGTGTTTTTACCTTGGTTTCACTTATGTTTGCCGATATTTAAGTTGTAGGGATAAGCCTGTGTTTGGTTGCCTGCTATGATGTTTTGTACAAAATTCACATTTAAATTCCCCACAATCTTCCAAGTTATTTGTCTCATTGTAAATCTCTCAAAAAGTAAACAGTTATATTCTTATTAATTGTCTATCTTATAATCTGTAATTATTATTAATATTTCACGTTTAAAAGTGTATACCTGAGGAAATGAAGCTATTTAAATTCTTTTTCGGAATTGGTGGCAGTTTGATATATAATTTTGGCTTTTTGTGATGATTAAATATACGAAACATAAATTTTTAACCGTTTCATACTGAAAGTGCAAAGTAAAGGCCGTGAATGCTAATAGGTGTCTCACCTTTCATGTACTTGAAACACATTCCCTGAACATTTTTATATTAGGGAAAGTGAAAAATGTGTGTTTGTCTTACTCTTCCTCCATTAACTTAACAAGTCATTCGCATTTATAATGTAAACCAAGCAGGTATAAGAAGAACTCTAAGTAACAGTTTATTGTAAACCTGATAAATGTAGTTACTTTTGATAGTTGCTAATTTTTATCACAAATTTGACAGATGGATAATGATTTCAAATATATTTTATGCAGAAATACCTTGTGCTATTTATCCAAGTAATTCTTTGTTATGTTTAGAACAAGAGTTCTTTGTATTGAGTAAATACGATTAGTATTTCTATGAAGATCCAATGGTACAATGAAAACGATTATTTCTGTCTCGGGCTTCCTTATTAAATGTACTGCATTGTAATTGTTCATCCTAATAATATCCAACAGGTTCGAATATTATTATTATTTAGCACGGGAAAAAGTTATTGTTAATTTGAGTTGAACTGTCCAAACTTCATTGTCTAGTGATAGTGAAGCATAAGTAATTTTAATTTCAGTACAATATTGAGGTATACAAAATATGCAGAAGTATAAAATTACTAATATTTAAACTCTACGATGAGTTTGTTTATTTATAGTTACACATTTTAAAATGTCACCATTTATTTGTTTTATGTATCACTATGAATGGCATAGTTACGGGAAAACAAGATTCTAAGAAATAGACTGAATGTTAACTAACTATTAGATCCTTTATTAAAAATAAAATTGAGTTTGTCCGATTAAATTTTACTGAGATATAACCCCATTTGTATTCAAACTGTATCGTTTGTAATTTAGAAGGTCAGCTAGAGAAATTGGCTCAATCTGCATTGGTCACCGAAATGTGGCACATTGCAGCATGACTAATGTACAGTTGGCTGCCAAGCATCAGTCACAGCTGCGAGTTAACACATGGATGAAGAAAATGTAAGTAATTCATTGTATAAAGCTGGTTCAGCAACTTTCTCGTTAAGGAAGGAATAATCTACAATTTAGCAAAGATAATTATTATCAATATTTACAAGATCAGTTAGTTTATGCGTAAAAAAATATATTAAATATGGTTGCTGTAACAAGTTAATACAATTACCAAAGGTTTCCTCATAAAATGTAATTATCTTATTGTTCACTGAAGCTGCAGTGTCAGTTTTCTAAAATGCATTAACCAAGCAGATACTGGGAATTTACATTTTAATTTGTTTATTACTTGTTTCAAGGACCAAATATTTACAAATATTTAGAGTATAAGAAATACAATGATACAATATTTTACAATATTTTTATTTTACACAGTATAAGGTGACACTTACTTGAAGAGTAAAACAGTTTATTATGTGTTTAATGTAGTATTAAAATCTAAATCAATTTATTTATTTTTTGTCTTCATTGTTGCAATGTATATAACAATAAATCCAAACAATTTGTAATAATCAGGACTTCAATTATTTATGGCTATGAAAATGTTACTTATATGTTTTGGGTAAGATTCAGTCTCAGACCTCAGAGATATAGTAATATCAGAGAACAGTACCACTTAAATCTTTGCTAGTTTTATTGAGAATACGTTATCTAAATACCTTAATCTTGATCAATGGTCTTCAACATTTTAGATAGTTTTTGGCGTGTCTCGGTTTTCCCTGAATGCTTCTGGACATTTGATGATGCTTTTGTCGTACTTGAAGATGGACTCTGGTAGTCCAAAACTATGATGTTTTTATACGTCCCTAGGACGTTCTAGCACAAGTTCTAGCTTGTAACTGTTTACACATTACTTCAGGATAGTCCTAGAGGGTTGCAGCATTATCATATGGATAAAATCCATTGGTGATCGGCGGGATTTGAACCCAGGACCTCAGGCTCCGAAGCCCCACGCTCTACCCCTAGACCAGCTCTCTCCCCAGTCCAAGACTATGGTAGTGTACTACTAACTTAGGGTCACTTGATAAGGGGCAAGGTTATTTAAATCATTTTAGCTTACTATTGTTTCTTTTAAGAAAAAGAAATTGTTGAAGGTATGAAGCCTTGGGGTTCAAATAAAATCAACAAATAATACATCAAAACACTTTTATATTTTTTACAAAATATTTAAAATAAACATTTCTCCGTGTATTATAAATTAATAATACTTATTTACATATATTTACAAACCTGTTATCATGGCTACAACTACTAATTTACAACATTTATTTTATCTATGCACCTCATTAATTATTGAGCTTCTCTCTAATTACTGTTAAAACCCTTTAAAGATTTTGCACTGGAAATAATAACTTAATTGCAGTGTCGCAGACCCTTTAAAAGACATTAAAACTATCCTGTGAAAATTCATTTTTTCCTTCCAAAGTGAAGGTAAATCTTCATTACATTGATCATGTACTGACGTAATTCTGCAAGTAAATTATTATTATTACAGATCATGCTTCGTATTAAATAAAAAAATAATGTAGATTACAGTATATTGAGATGGAGATTCTCATCACGCATAAATTAGATATACATAATTTGGATTTACAGTACCTTTTCATACGATGCAAGAAATCACTAGGTTGTGGTTTACTGAATGAAGGTGATAACAAAAATTTATCTTCTTATTACTTTGTACGATTGAAGTAACAAACAAAAAAAAAGTGAAATCTACCAATTTTCAAAAAAGTATTACATTAATCAAATTAAACATTAAATAACTTTTCTTGTTAAATTTAATTACAATGGTAAAACGAAATTAAATACCAAATGGACTAAAAGACATTACATTTTCTCTTTTAAATAAAAGTTGCCTTTCCAGGGGTCTATATAAACTGTACAAAATATGTACATCCTTTGGTACCAATTAGATCACAGTTTTTCCCCACTCAGAGACACCATGTTGTAGTAGGAATGATCAGGGAACCTGTCTAGCTGTATGTAGTCTGTCTCTGTCAACAACAACTGCTCTAGTAGAGTCACCAGCTCTGTAACATACAAACTCTGTAGGTATATATTTAATACTAGTGCATAATCACAGTTTCTTCCCACTCAGAGACACCATGTTGTAGTAGGAATGGCCAGGGAACCTGTCTAGCTGTATGTAGTCTGTCTCTGTCAACAACAACTGCTCTAGTAGAGTCACCAGCTCTGTAACATACAAACTCTGTAAGTATATATTTAATACTAGTGCATAATCACAGTTTCTCCCCACTCAGAGACACCATGTTGTAGTAGGAATGGCCAGGGAACCTGTCTGGCTGTATGTAGGCTGTCTCCGTCAACAACCGCTCTAGTAAAGTCACCAGCTCTGTAACATACAAACTCTGTAAGTATATATTCAATACTAGTGCATAATCACAGTTACCCCCCCACTCAGAGATACCATGTTGTAGTAGGAATGGCCAGGGAACCTGTCTAGCTGTATGTAGTCTGTCTCTGTCAACAACAACTGCTCTAATAGAGTCACCAGCTCTGTAACATACAAACTCTGTAAGTATATATTTAATACTAGTGCATAATCACAGTTGCTCTCCACTCAGAGACACTATGTTGTAGTAGGCATGGTCAGGGAACCTGTCTAGCTGTATGTAGTCTGTCTTCGTCAACAGCTGCTCTAATAGAGTCACCAGCTCTGTAACATACAAACTCTGTAAGTATATATTTAATACTAGTGCATAATCACAGTTGCTCTCCACTCAGAGACACCATGTTGTACTAGGAATGGTCAGGGAACCTGTCTAGCTGTATGTAGTCTGTCTTCGTCAACAACTGCTCTAGTAGAGTCACCAGCTCTGTAACATACAAACTCTGTAAGTATATATTTAACTAGCTGTACCCGCGGGCTTTGCCCCGTTCAACTTCTTAATTTTCAAGATGAGCTCGTTCGCATGGCTCAATCACGTCCTGGTTGAAGTGCGTTCGCTATGCTCACTCACCTTTAGGTTGGAGCTCGTTCGCTGCGCTCACTTGCCTTCAGGTTACCTCGTTCGCTACGCTAACTCGCCTCCAGGTTGAAGTTCGTTCGCTACGCTCACTCACCTTTTGGTTGCAAATTAGCTGTTGTCATAAATTTAAATAATAATAATAGTGCTGCACCCTGTTGGCAATCCTTGTAACTTTAAAGCTATTGAACATCATAGAACAGAACCAACTTGTTTAATTGAAACAGCTGATAAGATTCATTAATTCCTTTTAAATATGAAAAATCATAAGGTTAACATGGGAAACTCCAGAGCCACTGGGGCGGAGCCCGAGAGTCCGATCAGAATAAAAACAACTTAGTTTTCCTATTTAATGCCTAAGGAATCGGTGTACCAAATTTCAGCCTCCTAGGTAAATGGGAAGTGGGAGAATTAGTGATGAGTGAGTGAGTGAGTGAGTCAGTCAGTGAGGGCTTTGCCTTTTATATATTTAGATACTGGTGCATAATCACAGTTTCTCCCCACTCAGAGACACCATTTTGTAGTAGGAATGGTCAGGAAACCTGTCTAGCTGTATGTAGTCTGTCTCTGTCAACAACAACTGCTCTAGTAGAGTCACCAGCTCTGTAACATACAAACTCTGTAAGTATATATTTAATACTAGTGCATAATCACGGTTTCCCCCCACTGAGAGACACCATGTTGTAGTAGGAATGGTCAGAGAACCTGTCTAGCTGTATGTAGTCTGTCTCTGTCAACAACAACTGCTCTAGTAGAGTCACCAGCTCTGTAACATACAAACTATGTAAGTATATATTTAATACTAGTGCATAATCACAGTTGCTCTCCACTCAGAGACACCATGTTGTAGTAGGAATGGTCAGGGAACCCGTCTAGCTGTATGTAGTCTGTCTTTGTCAACAAAAGATGTTCTAGTTGATAAGTTACAATCACAATAATATACTCGTAAAACATGATTTTTCTCTGTTATATTTTATTTATCTACCTTAAAAAGATACTTTGCATGGAATTATAATAATTTATTACTAATATTATACATTATTAGCTGCTGCACTGGTACTTAGCGATGGGAAGAAAACGCAAAGAGAAATATTTGTTCTTTAAGTCCCATGTATAAAATAGTTGCCCATCTGTCAAAAGTTAAAAAAAACCAACCGTACCTCTTCATTTGTTCAAAGTTTACCGCTTTTAATTCAAGTAAATCTTGGTTTGTTTTCTTGATACTAAACAATAAGGTTGTTATATAGACAAATTTATTATGCAGTACACCAAATAAATTGTAGGAGTATAAGGCAATGTATTTAACATTCTCTTTAATCAATAATATGCATGTCTGGTCTGTGAAGTGTAATCATGTTATCTATTTTTGAAGTTGGATAATTGAGGAAAACATCAGTTGAACCCGAAACCAATTATATTTGTCCTTAGAGTTTTCATATTTCTTATTTGGTTGTGATGTTATCTTTTGCTCCTTAAGTGATATGTTTTTATATTCAACAAAGATAATAAAATAAAGCTTCGAAACAATTTTAACTCACAGTATCTCTACGATACAAGACTTATATTTCTATATTGAATCTCTAAATCCCCAATTGGTTTTGAGATTCAGCTTAGTTTTTATAAATGGATAGTCCAACAACCAAGAGATTTTTTTATTTAGCTACACCTATAAATACGTTAAGCTGAAGGATTTTTTTATAAATTGTTTTATAAATTTTTTTATAATTTTTTTTCATCATCAGCGTAATATTTCTTTGTAATTGCTTTTTAAATTTTAAGCATAATTTTATCATCACTACTAAATACTTTATTTAGTGACGTATCTTTTTAGGAAAATACAAAAAGCAGAGAATTCATAGATATTATCATGTACAGCAGTTTTAAAGTTGTTATAAAAGAATTGTTGCTTTGAAATAAAAGAATTAATAGTAAAACTATTAGTAATAAACAGCATTAGTTGTAAAAATATATTTACGAATGACATATAAGGTGTTGTTTTTAATCTTATAAATTTTTTAATGAAACTTAATACATGGATTGTATTTTTTTCTAAGTACCGGTAGATAAAAGAGCCACTTTTTACGATGATATATACAAATAATTTGTAAAAGAGGGCAGGAAAGTAAAACGAAACTTTATTTGTCTTTTAAATTATTGCATTATTAAAAAAAATATTAGTTTATTTACTATAATATTTGGGCAATGACTTAATACTAAAAATCAATCATTTATTATATCGCTTTACGTCTTAAATTCTCCGGGACAAAACTAAAACTATTACACACAGTATGTCCAATACACAAAGTTTTCAACATTTTAGTTTTTTTTTTATTACAAGGATATTCTCAGGGCTTTCAATGTTTCAAACTAATATTTAATGAAATTGTGTTGAATGCAAAACTAGCAAAGTAAAAAAAAAAAAAAATACTTCAAATAATATAGCAATTAGTATCAACAATATCCAGGTGACATTCAAAAGAATTGTTTGATAAAAAGAAACATTAAGAATATGGAGACTTAACTTAAGTCTAGATATATTAAAAATTAAATTAAAGAATTTGGAACCTTGGATGTTGGTTTAATTGATTTATTAAAAAGTGTCCAGGACAAAGTATCTATTTTAGATGATTTCTTACGTTCGCCTGATTTATATTTTATACAACTACTTGATATTCCGTACCTGTGAAGGTGGGCCTCTCGGCAGGATCTTGGTCCCAGCAGTAGTACATTATGTTGTACAGTTCTCTGCGGCAATGTTCAGGCTTGTCAAGTCTGTAGCCATCTCTTACTTTCCTCATCACCTATAAATAATAAATTTAAAGAAATTCCCCATACAAATGTAGTTTTTTTTATTTAAATATTTTCTCATTTTCCATAGATTAGAAGTTTTAATAAGTAAAGAGACATTTATATTCTCTTTTGCCAGGTTCTAGTTAGAGGTTGGGGTGAGCGGATAACTTATTTTTAGTTTACTTGACAGTGTCTACCAAATAAGATGATAAAGTCTTATTTAACTTACAGGTTTTTAAGCCAATATTTCAAAAGTAAAAAAAGAAAAATTTGATCTATATATAACTTATATAGCTGTTATTTTCTAAAATTAATCTTTATTGTAATCTGTTTCCAGTTATTCTTCAATCATATAATATTTTTTTTATCTATTAGGATGATTGCATCGATTAAAATCCGTCATTATATAAGTTGTACCATTACAAACATTTCAAAGGTATAGTTCTTACATGATCATAGCTTACATGATATTAGCCAACATGATCGTATAGGCTATGATGCCGTTTGAGAAATTAAATTAAACCTATACAAAATTAAACGTGCAAATCGATTTCACTGTGATAGTTAATACTAACAATAACTATTACTAATAAATAACCCCTTCAAAATAATGAAAAAGTTTTTAAAGGTTTGGTACACCACAGAACCAACCCTTTATCTTTTTTCTAAACTGACCGACCAAAGGGCATAGCCCAATCTTTAAGTCTACTAACCTCTGCAGCCCCAAGGCCAGGGTAAGGCGTCGATCCAAGCGTGACGATTTCCCAAATTAGGACTCCGAAGCTCCAAATGTCGCTTTTGACAGAGAAGAGGTTGTCGTAAAGGGACTCTGGCGCCATCCACCTGATCGGCAACCGACCCTCAGACTTCCGCTCGTACACATGACTCGTAATGACGTCACGAGCAAACCCAAAGTCAGCCACTTTGCAGATCTGGTTTTCACCAACAAGAATGTTCCTTGCCGCCAGGTCTCGGTGAATAATCTACAAACAATTATTTTATAATGTGGAAGAAAGGTGTACTGCAAGTAAAGAGGTTAGTGTCTTAGGCTTCAATACAAGGGATGTCAGAATGAGATGGACTAGTTGTTAGTCACATCTACGTTATCGGCAAGGAAATCTTAAGGGAGGTGTTTGATTCCTAGCATGTCTAAAACAATAAGGTTGCACCGTTTTCTCTAAAGCAGTTGAGTACAGAACTGCCTTTAAAAATTCCACAGTGGTACACAATACAAAGTTATTGATTGATTAAATATTTTTTTGAACTGCAGTATTTAAATTAACAAGCAAATAGCAAGCTTTAACCTAGGTATTGGTCGTCAAAATTTGTTAAAAATGTTGACGATTGTCCTATTCTATGTTCACTAAGAACATTATTCGAAATAGTTTGCTTATATTGAACATTAATTATATAATACTTGCAGGGTTACATAACTATTTAAAAATAATAATTTGTTTTACCTAAATATAGAATGTTTAAAACCAATAGCAGTAAACTAAAACATTTGCTGTGGAGATGGAATGTATACTTTGAAACCTGGTGTGTAAAGGTACGGGATTGGATTCGGCTTAACTAAAGTGAACTTCTTTGTTTTATCAGTATTAACTTTTAACCATGTTAAAAGTCTAAATAAACAGTTTCTACTCCTTTCTCAAACAATTATAGTATTATTTTTAGAATTATTCATGAAGGAATAAGTAGCAATTTAAAATTCATAAGGACTTCCTTATAATATCACGTTGCACCTGGTTGCTGATGTAAAATTCTCCCTATATATTCTTTGGATGGGGTGTAATGAGGTAATATGATTTGAAACTAAGGAAGTCTGCTGTGAGTTTATTATCTAAATCGTCTAGCCCATGTGTTAACTAATTTCAACATGTATATGGGGTGTTTCGGAAATAAGTACAATACTATTAGAGATATTTGTTATGGGTCAGAATAAAATATAACCCTAAATAATATTATTTTTTTTTTCAAAATCGCCTGGTTAGCGATGTATCCACGATCTCTTGTACTACAAATGCAAATTTTTTTTTCATATTAAAGATATATTTATGACTTAGGTGTACAATGAAAAGTACAAACATACAATTTGAAAGATAATAAAAAAACACTTTGTATACAAAATGGTGGTGATTTTAAATTTGTAACTAACACTAGATACAAAAAAATTACGGATAAAAAATCTAGAAGAATTTCATTTGTCAAAATTAAAAAAGACCCGATACAAAGTCTAACTTACAAGCAACTAATTTGGTTTCAAAGAGCTCAATAATTCTTTATAATATTTTATTTTAGTTCTGAAAAGTTTTATTTTGTTATTGTGAATCATCCTGAAAGTTAAAATATGCTATTGGGCATTTTATAACTCATTTTATATTATTCAAAAAATTCTATGACATATTTTTTATTTATTTCTATGTTAACTGTAAGAAAAAGATGTAGGTGTAAGGGATCATGCTCCACTTAAACTCACCCCTTTTCCTGATAGGAACTCCATCCCTCTCGCCACCTGGTAGCAGAAGGAAGTGAGATCTCTGGAGGTGAGGGTCGCAGACTTGGCGTGCATGTTGTCATAGTACCTCTGGGCCCGAGAGTTGCGGAGGTAACTCTGCAGCTTACCGTGGCATATGTACTCCATGATCACAAACAACGGATCTGCAATCGGGGATTTATATATATATATATATATATATATATATATATAGAGAGAGAGAGAGAGAGAGAGAGAGACAGCTAAAACCTGTAGACCGTAACCAACCATACATAATAAAATACTCCAGCTAAATGTGTCAGAAAAAAATCCAAAATAATAATCAAATATTTTAAAGAAGCTTTCATTCTGCCATTACTGATATGTAGCCAATTATTTATTAGTTAGCCTACCTACATCAGGGAAAAGTAGCAACAAGGTTAATAAAGGACAAATAAAACTGAAAGGTTTATAGTTTATAGTTTTTTTTTATAGTTTAGTTTATTTAAATATATGCTTTAAGATTATTGGAAGTTAAAATACATCATATAAATTTAAAAAAAAGTCAAACGAGAATTCAGGTGAAATCGGCTCTTTAAAACTTTTGTAATAAATTATTTAATGGTACATTAAATGGGTGTTTTTTTTTTCTTTTAAGATGGAAGATAATCTAATTATTTTAATTTAAGAAGGAAATTCAAGTTTATGAAAATGTGAGTGCAATGCCATATAAAATGTAATTCTAATTAAAAGATTGCTATAAAATGTTGATGCATATTATTTCTACAAAGCATAGAAAGGCTTTCATCACGCAAAGGATTTCGGTTTTTAATTAGCCGGTGATACTTTTAAAATTCTACTTTTACTTTTCAAGAAGTATTTTGAATCATAATTAATTAATTGGTAATTCTTTTACCACTGAAAATTGTATATTATACATGTTGCTATTTAATTGGTATGTTTGTTTATGTGTTTTTATGTGGTCCTTTTTTACCAAAGAGGATTTTCTTTTTTGAAAAAATATCATTCATTTTATATTATTGGATGTACCATTTGCCGTTAATTACCTTAATAAATGCATCATTAGAGTTTATCAGTTTAATTACTCAATGTTCCAGAACATCAATCAGTAAAGTAAGTTTTAGATAGACTTCTTTTATTTTCGGGAGAGCTTGGGTACGATATGGATTCTTTTAATGTATTATGTTATTTTGTGCTCTGTATCTAATGACGAAATTTTTAAACATACTGATTGTACTGTACTATTTATGGAATAAATATAGTAAATAAAAATTGAAGCAATAAACTGTTTATGCACAAAAGGGAAATATAGTATTAATTTTTAGTTTAGTTTATTAGTGCAGTGTTAACTGAGAGGGAATAGCAGAGTATTTTGCCTTATAATGTGGTATCCCTGATAATTTAAAAATTAGCCGTTAGATAGGTCAGTGGAAGGTCAGCACTGGGCTAAGTTTGTTGAGAACTCGTCGACAAGGTACGAAATTATTTTAATTAATCCTGAGTCCTCATGTGATTTTACTCTAAATTTTGCTTATTTTATCCTTTTGAGAAATATTTAAAGAAGTGGCTATATTAATACCTGAATCACTGTAATTATTTGATGTCTGAATGTATTACAAACGAGTAGTATTTTACTAATGTTTAATAATGTTTAAAGAGTGAATATTTAAATAGCCATGTGTTATTTTCAGGTTAGACCTTGTTTAGAATAAATTTTATTTGTATAATTGGGAAATGTTTCAGACGAGATTCAAGGTGAATTAATTACCTTATACAGGGTGGCTGAAAAGTAACTTGCACCCCCTTAACTTTTCAACCATTTGAGATATTTGAAATCGGTTTGCGGCAACCTTCTTAGATATGAGGGGCTACAGTAATTATGGTCAATTTTGAAAATTTTGCCCTTAGGGGTAGTGGGGGTAGGGCGTAGCTCAACATTTTCAAATGCCAAGTATAGTCGAGTTTGGTATCATTTTTCAGGTCTTGACAGAACATAAACATTGACATAAAGAAAACCAAAATCGGCTCAATAATAACAAAATGGCGCCCTAAAACGTTTCAAATCCAAATAACCATGAGGGTGGCAAAAAAATTAACTTGCACCCTCTTTAACTTTTTAACTATTCGAGATATTTGAAATCAGTTTGCGGCAACTTGTTTGGATATGAAGGGCGACAATAATTATGGTCAGTTTTGAAAATTTTGCCCATAGGGGTAGCGGGGGTAGGGGGTAGCTCAAAATTTTCAAACAGCAAGTATAGTCGAGTTTGGTATCATTTTGTAGGTCTTGACAAAACATAACAAATAACATAAAGAAAACAGAAATCGGACCATTAATAACAAAATGGCAGTTCAAAATTACTTTAAATAACTATTGTCTCATTCATTTTTACCTGCGATTTTGTTATTAATGGTCCTATTTCTATTTTCTTTATGTTAGTTGTTATGTTTTGTCAAGACCTACAAAATGATACCAAAATTGACTATACTTGCTGTTTGAAAATTTTGAGCTACCCCCTACCCCCACTACCCTTAAGGGCAAAATTTTCAAAACTGGCCATAATTATTGTCGCCCTTCATATCCAAACAAGTTGCCACAAACTGATTTAAAATATCTCGAATAGTTAAAAAGTTAATGAGGGTGCAAGTTAATTTTTCTGCCACCCTCATGGTTATTTGGATTTGAAACGTTTTAGGGCGCCATTTCCTTATTAGTGAACCGATTTTAGTTTTCTTTATGTCAATGTTTATGTTTTGTCAAGACCTGTAAGACAATACCAAACTCGACTATGCTTGTCGTTTGAAAATGTTGAGCTACCCCCTACTCTCGCTACCCCTAAGGGGAATTTTTTCTAAATTTACCATAATTATTGTAGTCCCTCATATCTAAGAAGGTTGCCGCAAACCGATTTCAAATATCTCTAATGGTTGAAAAGTTAAGGGGGGGTGCAAGTTACTTTTCAGCCACCCTGTATACTGCCATGGTGAATGTCAATAACTATGAGTAGCAGTAAGAATAGCCCAGGGGAGCCTAACCACTGATTATGTCACAGTTTAAAGTAAGATCCACACATTTATTTTGTTTTGGGGTCTAATATAGACAACTGTTTATTTAATGTAGTCTTATTTTTGAAGAAAGAATTTATTTTGGTTGTAACATGTCTTTTTGAATTAGAGTTCAAGTGAATAAACATCAATATCATTGAAGTGATTGGGATTTATCCATGCTACCTGTCTACCACTAGAGGATAGTAAATTTAAAGTTACAGCAAGGTATACTATGATTTCTATTAACATTAATTACAAATCTGAAGTGTCATCAAAGAAAAACATTTTTTTTTTCTTAAATTGGTTTTGAGGGCATGTAGGCTACATAAATGACCTCAGCATAAGGTTGTCTCCGACCTAATTAATAAATTTCCAAACTATTAAAACCCACGGACTATTGGTGGAATGTCTTAGGGAGTATAGTACTGTAATATCAAAACCAAAGATAAGAGCATACTTTTAAACATTCTTTTATGGAAGAGATAATGATTCCAATGCATTAGATCGTGACATCAAACAAGCACAAAAGGTGCAGATGTTACAGTAAGAAGATAAATCTACTAGTCAACTTCTAACCAGGTTGGGAGAGCTAGTTAAGGCCTGTGGTTGCGTTTAAGCTCCACGAGTATCTTAGTTTTGAATTTGCTTTTAACAAAACTTCAAACCGAAACTGAGTTTAACTAACCAAAATGCAGGTTGGAAAATATAGTTCTAAGGACTTTTATATAAAAAAGTAATTTAGTTTAAGAAAGTGCTATGATTATCTAGAGTTATTTTGTTTCAGAAACTTTTGTATAAATTGTTTATAAAATATTAATAAAAATACTTAACATAGGTGGTAACAATAATCATGGTATATGCTTAACAAAAGGTTTAGTGTTGTTCAATACTATTAGTAAAAAAAAAACTTAAGCTAGATTTATGAGAATATGGAAATATGACATTGGAAATGGTCTACGAAACCAGGTCAGTTTTATGAAATAATTATATTCTTGTACATGAGTGTTATGTAAAAAAATATATTTAAGGGAGATAAATGACAATTTAGTCATATTGTGACGTGGTTACATATCAAAGCAGTATTTGTAATAAATAAGTCACCAGAATCCATAAGATACAACGTTGAACCTGGTTACCGCTAAGACAAATAATTACTGAATAGAAACAGCATACATTAATTTTGTGAAAATGTTTAAAGAACATTTGTTACCTTTTTCTGTGCAGCAGCCTAAAAGTCTAACCACATTAGCATGAGGTTCCAACATTTTCATAACTTGTAGTTCTTGTAGGAGATCAGTTCGTTCTCTTTCTCCTGCGTTTTCTTTAAGCGTTTTAACTGCTACTACGGATGGCCCTTCTCTGCCTGAAAATATATATATATATATAAATAAATATACCTTACCAAGAGTTGCAATAAATCTGTGTTGAAAGAAGTTATAATTATAATTAATTGTACGACTGTGAACCATATCAGTAATGAGCATGAAATATATGAGTGTTGTAAGTTTTTTGACTGAATTAAGCTCCTATATGTAAATATATATTTTCAAACCTAATTTATTCATATTTTTGAACAAAGTGATTGCCAATCAATGGATTTGCTTAACATTTGTTGGTTTCTTAAGTTGCAGATTAATTTAGAATTTATTCCATTGAATGGAACAAACTTTTTTATATAAAACAAACATATCCCTGGTTGTGTGTTTAAAATATGTTTTTTTTTTGCAAATGAATAAACATTAAGCTATACCCAATACTAATAGGAAACTATTTCAAAAGAGGATTTTTCCTACAAATATTGCATGTGTTCATTTTTTATTCTATCTGTTAACACTGTTTAGGAGTGTCCTAAAGATAAAATTTTAAAAACGTTTATGATTTATTCCATTTTAGAACACAAAAGAACCCACATTTGTCATTCACTGAGCTTTGATTAATAGATAGATGTTGTTTCCGTACTGTCTGGTTTCGCTGTCTTTGATAAGACAATGTGGTTGTTACCAAAGTCATTTAGTTGTTTCAAAGACAATCAGATGGCTCTGTTCTACGGTATATCAAAACCACTCATGTATGGTTTGGGGACTCTACAGCCCTTAGTGTGGTTGTACATTCTATTGTTTGATTGAATACCCTTGTACTAATTATGTTTACAATTCATGTCGAGGAACATGCACTCAATTCATGCAATTGTTTGCTATACAATTGTAATACAATAACAAGTGTTAATATGATACAGTTACTTAAGAATAATCAGTAGGCTAGTTAAAAATTGCCATATGATAATGTTGAAATGCACACGTTTTCGTTTGAGACACTTTAACTTAACTCTGTATCAGTTGTATAATATTAAAAGTTATTATTATTTAAATTTAAAAATCTAACTGACGCTCGTCAGTTATAATATTTAATGATTTCAATACATTACCTTTTAATTTAAATATTCAATTAAATATTGCTCAGCCCCTGTTATTCTATCTCATAAGCAATAAGGAAATAATTAGGAATTGGGTTCTAATTAGTCGTTAGGTATTGCCAAAAGTAATACAGTTTAAAGTATTGTCTACTACAAAGCCTAGAAGCCTAGTGGTATACGGTTTAAAAAATCAATTTTGAAGTAAGTTTAAACATGTTCAGATTATTTTTTCTAATCCCAAACTCGCGCTTGATATTGACGTTACGACCCGCTCACAGTAAAATACCATCAGAATAACTTGGTGAATTTATTCGTTTCGGATCGCTTATTGAAAATACTGAAATTGAACACAAATATTTGTTTGCAATTGGATGAAATTTATTTCAATAATTACTGTGCACCGAAGCAGTTTATGTTATAATGGGTAATGTTGGATTATGTTTATTTAATTTCTACTATCATATTTTTTTATTTAAAATTCATTCTCTATCCAGATAAAAAAGATTAACCCCCATTTTTTTTATGTAGAGGTTTTCTCCTACAGGAAAGGTGTTGTAAAGTGAAATGTTATTGGTTGAGAATAAAATTTATGAAATACTAGATCTTGGATCAAAATACATCCATAAGCAAGCACTTATCAGTTTACTTATCCTTCACATTAAAAAAGATAATGTATTTTAAACTTACAGTTTTCTGGAGTTTTCACCGTAAGAATAAGAATTATTTATTGCCATCCACCAAATGCAGTATGGACTATGGAATATGCATTATCATGTAAAAAGAAAAAGGTAACACACATTGTACAACAACGTGTCAATATTCTAAACTGTTTATTTTCTAAGCTCTATATAAATGTTTCAAAAGTAATTGTATTTAATTTGTTGGGGATCAAAAATGGTTAAACACAACTTTTACCCTATAACCCTTCTATTAAGTAGAACAAAAGGGGTTGTTTGCATCTAAGGACATGAAACTTTAAAAAATCGTTCCTGGGTCCAGGTATTCTTAATGAGACCTACGTAATCGCTTACTCCCTGTATGGAAAACTCACCAAAAATAAGCCCGGCAGTAAAAAATGCCTTATTCAAATATACAAAAATACATGATAGATGAGTTTATTTAGCCACACCTTTTCTTTTATTCTCTCTACCTTATTCCATTTATAAATGTAATAGATACATTTCTAGATACATTCTATATATTTCTCCTAAGGAAAAAATACAAACTAATAAATGCAACATATGGAGTAACTTAGGATCTATTACAGTCATGTAATTTTCCCATGGAACTCACCTGCAATAGACATAGCTTCACACTTCCAGACTTGACCGAAACATCCTTCTCCGAGAATGTTGAAGACTTTAAGGTGATGCCTAGGGAACTCCCAAGGGTCTAGCTTCTCTGGAAGTGGCTGCGCTGCTGTCATTGCTCCCCCATGCTGAATATACATAATCGTATCAGAAATATGTTTAATATATCGTTCACCACAAATAATTTTATAGTAACCATAGATTGTAAATTAGGAAAATCCAACACTTATTACTAGGAGGATTATAACACTAGTGTTAGGTTTAGCTACCTATATACAGCTAAGAAGGATCTGAACTTTTGAGAAAACCATAAGCTGCACACATCTTAATTGCATACTTGAATGTTCTTGATTTGAAACTTCTTCGAAAAATATGAGTTTTCAGTAAACCCTACCCCTAAGGGCAGGAACCTCAATTAAAGGGCTGTGTTTAATCACATTTAAAATGTTGAAGATGCATCAACTGTTAAATTTGTTCATATTGTATCACTTTACTTTTCCCTTTAGAGTTTATCTTTTGACTCTTATTAAATATGTTTATATTACCATAGATAAATTACTTTTACCTAACCCGCCATGTTAAACTCCCCTATCCCAAGCGTGATGTATACAACTTCCTAACTTCAAGAGTGATGTAAAGTTGAAAAAAACTCACTCGGTGGGGTCATGAAACCCTTTTAAATAACATTGAGTGGATAACTTTAAAAATATACCTCTATGGAGCCAACGACGTTCAACGCTAGAAATCATCTGTGTGCTTGAATTTTATTGTTATGCTTTGAAGAATTTTCCTAACCTAGCTTTTGTTTGTAAATGAACCTTACTGTTAGCAGATGGGTGAAATGGATAATGAAGCATATTGCTCGTAACCTCCTGCATATTGTCGGGTCAGGTAAAATCTTGTACGTTACACGTTACGCAAGAGCGTGTTTACATCACTTCGGTGAATTATGCAACTCGCTTTCGCTCGTTGCACAACATTCACCTGCGTGATGTAAAAACGCTCTTACTACACTTGTAATGTAAATAGCTATTAATTCTGTCTCACAGTTAAATGCAAAAACACAAGAGTTTTTTTTATTAAAATAAGTATAATTTGCATTGTAAGTGTGTTCATAGAGATACTCAAACTTAATTTAACTTTTTCAAATTCTAATATTATGAAACAATAATATTAAAATTTAATAAAATTGTAATATTAAATTAATCCATACTGCTTTGTTGTATATTTTAAATAAAAAGATCTCATGATAAGTGTCCAATTACAATTCTAAGCCATCTCGACCTCTTCAGATGAATAAATTAAGCAACAACAAAGATCTGAATATAAAAAATCCTCCCCTCTGGTAGTTAACTTTGTGTTCACACTTTTAAAACTGAGAGGTAAAGGTTTGTGATGTTCAGGCTTTCAACTAAAGTCTCGGTTGTATAAAGACTCCCTTTAAAATGATATGCAACTCTTAGAAGCATTACATTTTACCTCACAGTTTACTTTACTTGTTGTTGCACCTTTTTCAGTTTTAGTTTATGCATAAAGGAACTTAATGCAGTTTAAATTGAAATGCTATTCTTGCAAATACAAGAAAAGCTTTTATATGTTTTTAGTTAATGTTGGAAGTTAAATCTGTTTTAAATAGTGAAGTAGTTTTTTGCAGAGATTATTGAAGTTAATGTTTCATAAAATAGTGCCCTATTTGTCCTTATTACTTTTAATGATAAACTAATATTATAATACTTGTTCCAGTGACATACTTTACCTGAAAGAAGTGTGATGTGATTGGTCATGTCAACAAAGAATCGTAATAACCAAACATATTTAGTCCCTAAATTGTGTTTATGAAATGCAGTTTTTGTTAAATTACCATATAATGACTTCACTTTTTAGACTATTTATGTACTTGTGTTTGGTGTCTGTCTCTGAGCTGTTCAGTGAAAATTGGGATCAGTAAAGTATTAAGTTACCACATCATAGTGATTAAATCACTGAAATTTTTATACTGGTAATTTAGGAAGAAATCCCCATTTGTTTCATTACCATAGTTTTAATCTATGTTATTATCAAAACCGTTTACACACCTGAGCGGTTTCCGAGTCCCAAGCTTCGTATCGGTTGCTGTATGCTCGAGGACCAAGCCATTGCTGCATCGCCATTGGCTCCTCTAGGGATGTGTTGTTGGCTGCCATCTCTTTATCCTAAGGGAAAATAATTTATTATAAACAGTTGAGCTTTAAAACCTACACACTACATTGAAATGAAGACATAATCCTGTAGTGAGCTGTACTAATTTCAAATATATCAATATAATCTATCCCCACACATGTATTTAAGTCCCATGCAACAAGACTAAAAATGAGCAGTAATTTTGCAAAAGAGATAAATGGTATTTAGGATTTACTAAGACAACAGATTCCTGTTTCTAAATGCGTATCGATTTAGGTCTGTTCTTACAGGTTAATATAGGCAAAGAAAAATATATGAAAAAATAAAACATTAAAGCAATACAATTGATATATAAACGTATTTGTTTGGTCGAAAATTTATTGGAAGTTATAAAATAATTCTTATTTTCTGTGCAACCATTCAAGTAAAAGTTTAACTAGATCTCAGAGAGTTTGCTGGTGTCAACTAATAGTTAGATTCTGACTAACTTTTGAACTAGTGGTGTATTGTGCTTTGAGTTCTCTCTTTAACAAAAGTGACTGGAACACTGAGACAAAATTTGGACGTAAAAAAGATGTATGGTTAAAATAAAGTGATTTGCAACAAACCTTATCTCCCTTTTTGGACTTTTTCTTTGTCTTGCACATTTTCTTCCTGAACACACATACACTGATGGCAGACACAAGGAAGGTGGCACACACTAGCACTAGAGGTATGATGGTTAAAGCAAGGTTCCTGATCACAGCTTGACTTTCATCCACTGGTGCGGACGTTACCACGACTTTGTTTGTCGCAGAAGTGTCTTCGGTGACCTTTGTAGGTTTCACCGTAGTTGTCGTTAAATTAGCAGCCTTTGTAGTAGACTCGGTCGTTGTTGTCGTAGAGGTTGTGGTAGTAGTTGTCGAAGATACCTTTGTAGTCGCAGGTTGACTAGGAAGTTGAACATTGTTTATAGGTTTTGGAAAAGGTCTTCCTGGAAACAACATAGGATGAAAGGGCGTGCGGAAGTTTGGGTTGGGAGGGGGAGGAGCTCGGAACCCTGGACCCATGTTGGACGGAATCCTGGGGGGTGCGGGACGTCGGGAGTCCTGGAGTCCGGTAGTGTTCATGATGTCCACCCAGACTTCGCTCTTGTGAGTTAGCTGGCCGTCGTAGACGGTCACGTACAAGAACAGGCTCTCTCCACCCTGCACAATAGATGTAAAATTAACAAGTCATGTCAGGACAAGAAGGGCACTTCTAATTGATGAAGAGAAGACAGCGTGTAATAATAGATCAAGGGCTAAATAAAATTAAGAAGGCAAAATCATCCATGCGTGGTTAATCTTAAAATGGAGAGGGTTATAGTATATTCACATCAAATGTAAGGTCTTATAAACCACGACAATAAATGAAACAGCGAAAGAGTGCTTAAACAAGAAAATAGAAATTGCTTAAACGAAAAGAAACTACTACTTAAAAGTCAAAATACACTGATGGTAAGTATCCTATTTATATTAGTCAATTCACAAAGAAGATGAAGTATAAGAACGACAAGTAAACAAGTAATCTTCAAACCTCAGAAAATTCCCCGCACAGTTACACTTGATTAGTCACCAGTTAGGCATAGAAGTACTTTGATGAAGTTACTTATACATTATTTAGTAACCTTAATAGCTTGGTCTGATGTTCCATAACATTTTCAACCAAATTCCTGCATTTTTACTTCAATACTACATGCAACTGTGAATATAACATTGTATAATAAACCTTGAAACCACCTCAAAGCATTTTATAAAATGTTTCATGAGTGGCTTTTATATTTTTTCTTTAATTATATTTATTTAATGTTTCATTCTTATCATTTATTTATTATTCTAATGATTTAATTATATATAAATCAGATTGATGATAAAGCAATTTTTCAAACTATATTTAGAATTTTACATTTCTGCTGCCATTATTATGTATAGAAAGGTGCCTGCCACAAACCACCATGGAATTAGTAGCGCTAGAAATATTTATATTATATGATATTGTATTTGCAAGATATTGTATTTTCACAAATAAATATATTTGAATTTGAATTTCAAATATTTTCATAATGCCATTAGGTTTTATTGCAACAAGGCCTTGAATAATAAGGTTAGTTTTTTAGCGTGTAAGCAAAAAAATCATGATTATAATCGTTTGTACATTTCTAATGACTAACCAACAACATGTACACCCTCGTTTCCTGTAGGTACACGTTTTTTAATTATTTTTTTTATTAGTCTGCATGATCATTTTACGTCTCAAGAATTGTAACACATCAAAAGGTTGCTGTATTTATTATAGAAAAGGCTCTTATGGTGCCGAGCAATTGGATAATAAAAATCACTTAGGACAATAATATTAGCTATTGCGATTATTAATTAGTTTAATAACAAAACTTCATTTATCAATAAATAATTAATAAATAGGGGCTTTTTGTAAACTGTTTAGTAGTAGTTTGGGGTGATAAAATTGCATGATAAAATTACATATATTAGAAATAATAATTTTAAAATTGAATTATCCAAGTACCTACCGCATTATTAAAAAGCATTTTATAGTGTTAAAGCGTAATATTTCAAACATATCTCGTGAAATATTCCATTGCTCATGCATATTTAATTATCTTCGAAGAGTAAAAGCGTTTTAAAGCAAAATTATTTGGATCTGCCGAAACACCCTTTTTGAGAAAGTTATAATTCAGTTTTGCAATTACGCACGTGCAGATAACCAATTACTTTAAGGAAGTTTTATACAAATATTTACCAAGCTACAAAAATATCTTGAAAAGGAGTCGATCATTTATTAATTTCTTCTTCTTATAAATGGATGATGAACTACCGTTTTGCAGTACAAAATCATGAAGTAACTATAACTAAAAAATATAGTAAAAGATAATGGATAGTTACCCAACTAAACTTTACTTAGCTGCAAGTTTTAGTGCTTGTGGACTGGCAATTCTTTATCCTTGTGATTTGGTTTCAATCGATCTCTCATCACTCAATTCAAGTTGTTATTCTGTTTTAATTTAAGACTAAATAAACACACTAATCCATTTATGATTCGTAAAACATATATCGCTCATCCGGCTGTACAGTACAACGTTGACAAAGCAACAATAGTACCTATTTACCTACATTTAAAAGGGTAACTTATAACGAATCAAATTCATCAAATACATTTTTTTTATTTAGGATGATTTTAAAGGTAGTTTATTGGTGCTGTCGAATTTATGTTGAAATATTATAGACAACGATTTCTTACCTTCTAACTATTTCTTTTTTAATATGAAATTTTCAAACCCATCTCGGTTTTTAGGTTCCATATAGTATTTTTGGGAGTAAAACTAATACCACTGATGCTAAAGTGTATAAACGTAAATCAGTATGTTTTAGTGAACTATTTCTCAAAATCCTGAACAACTTTTAAAGATTTATCACTCACCCTGTCAGCCAAAGAGTCATTCGTGTAGACGACTCCTGTCTGGTTGTCGATCCTGAAGGGTAGATCCCGGAGACTGTTGTTCATGAAGATGTTGAAGTTCGAAGGACCATCGGGTTTCTCCAGGCCGTACTCTAGAGGATCACCTTCGTTATCCTCGGCGTGTACCCTGACTATGACCGCCCCCACTGGCTCTGTGTCCGGCACTGTCCAGTATCGCTCGACCACCACCACGGGCGGGGTGTTGTCGGAGAACTGGGCGTGCCCTGTGAAGAAACAAAAGGGTATAATGCAGTGCATCTTCAATAGCATCATTGAAGACAAAGCAGCAGTAAAATGTCAGAGTCTCACGCAAACACTAAAAAAGTCCCTAGGGAATACAAACTTTAAAACATCACTAAGATTTTGCTCTTAGATTATTGAGTCTCATAAAGTGGCTCTTAATGACCAAATAATCTATGAACAAAATTCCGGGATCATTGTAAATAAACAAACCTTTGTAACTGATTATGACATCATCAATATATGTAATCAATACTACTAAAAATTGTAATAGTTTTTTTCCCCCTAGGACGCTAGGCACGAGCCCGGATTTGTTTTTCACATTACTTCAGGCTAGGCCTAGGGGGTTACGGCATTATCATTTAGATAAAACCTATTGGTAATTTGGCAGGATTTGAACCCGAGTCCCGCGCTCTAACCACTAGACCAGCTCGCTCCACCTCTTACTAAAAATACCAATAGTAAGATTGTAAAAAAATACAAACTAAATAGATAATCTAAATAGCAAAGTTCCCTTTATAAAAAAACTATTGGGAAACCCCAAAAAGTCTCTTAGTAGCAAATAGTTAACGTTAACATTTTTAAAATAAGGTTTATCTTTTTCAAAATGTCACTATCAATGGTAAAAACATAATAAAAATTCCTTAAAACTACATCTTCCAAAAAAGAGACAATTGATCAAACCAACTATTATATAAAAGCCTTATACTGTCTTAAAAATGCCTTTTATGGCAATAATAACCTGAACCAAACTATATACTTATGTACTATAACCATGCAATAACTAAACCTAGAATGTTATTGGAAGTATTCGTAATGATTATTAAATCATATCTAAGAAAAACTTAAAATGACAACCCTCTCCTCTACATGAAAATTAATTGTATTTATTAAATATACGGTATAAAGTCAAAATAGTTGGTAAACTATTATCAAAGGGCATAACTAAAATGAATTTCATAGTTAAAAAGCTTATAAAGATCATTAAAGCAATGCACCATACATTTTATGGCTAAAAACTACAAGGTTTGTTTTTCTTCTCAAGAGTATATTTGTAGCGTACCTTGAAGGCATTTAATGTAGTAAATATTGAAAGCAAACATCAATTGACAGCATGCCTTAGGGTTGTGATATATTGCGTTGCATAGTAGAGTGGACCTGAGTACATACTGTTTATATAGATTATAGAGGACATTATATATCAATTACCATATACACTTTTTAGTAAGTAAACTCTCTCTGTTGGAATATGTTATCAGTAGGTAAGCTCCTAAGGAAAATAAAACTACCAACACTGATGACCATGACCTTTTACGTAACATTTAAAGAAAGGTCAAATAATGTTATCCATTAACTGGGAACATTTTTCTTGATGTTGTACACATTAAAAACATAAATAAAATTTATATTATCTTTAAAACAATACTTCACATGGGTCCTTGATACAAGCTTATTGAAAAATACTTGAGAAATAAAAAAAGAAATTACTCAATGAATATAAAGTCCAATCAAAATAGGTTGAATATAAATTGGTATATTTAAACTAGAATGATGGCTATCGAAACCAAAGACTAAAGTGCAAACCTTAAATGATTCCGTATAAGAAATAAACAAAAGGTTTTTATTTTATGTAATTAAACATGACACAATAAAGAAAGCTGCGGTAAAATTTACAATAGAATGAGATGTCCACGTGGACAATATAAATGAATAGTACAATTCTGTTTGTAAGTCGGTGATATTTTTATGTGTATTTAAAGTATACAAAGTGTCCCGTAAGTAAGTAAAAAATGTTTGCCCTAATAGATTTTATAAGTGGAAAAACGAAAATCATGTATAAATGTTCTTTTGCAAAAACGCCTTGTTAGCTGGAAATCTGTCACTTAGTTTTTTTTTTTTTTTTTTTTTTTTTAAGGTAAAATGCTTAAAATTATCAAATATATATTTATACAAGGTGAACAACTTACTGTGCCACCGTTGGTATCTCAGAAACTATTAGATTTAGAGAGAACATTAAATGGAGAACTTAAACTAGCTAGTGTTTAATGATATTAAAAATATTAATTCCAATGTTCAAAAATGGCCAACATTTTCCAGCATGGTGGCTACAAACTTTCTTATGGGACACCACCAATTTTATGATTGTTTTAGACTTATGATTGTGTGCCTAATGCTACGGAGAAAATTAAAATATTTTAAATTTAAAATTCCCATGTCATTCTTATAGATAATAAGTAACTGTTGTTGTTTGCTCGTTTGTGAGCATATTTTGATCACATTTGGAAAATGCTTTCTTTTCATAAATTTTTTTACTTTTAACATTTTACAAAAAAACACTTTTTTACCCTCCCTGTTGCAGCAAACCTAGAGTAGTTGTTAAACTAATGCTATTTAAATAGGGAATATATGTGATATTTTTAAGGAGACATTATAGTCTAAATCTAATTAGGCAAATGGAAATTCACTTTGTCTGCAGGTTTGCTGCGGTGGGGGTATTTATATAGAGCCTTTTATACCAAATCAATGTGTTTTTGACATATTGTTAATAAAACATGGTAACTGTTTTGTAATTTAAACTATAAAATTGAAGTGGTCACCATGATGACACCTTAAAGCATGTTTAACATTAATCTTTTCACGAATAGGTTGTTTTGTTTGATAGATATACCAAATTTCATATAGATTTAAAGAAAACAAAATAAATACCACTAAACAATGTGGCGTATTTCTCATAAACAAAGTGTTTTTGGATTTTTTTTACATGTTCTAAATTGGTGTCACTTACTTAAGGGAAGCCCTGTATGAGTACAAATATTTTCTATTATTAAAACAAGTTCAGAACCCGTAACAAAGTATTTGTTACGAGTTACAGTTTCAAATATACTCTGTATGTGATATATTTCAAGCTACCGATATTTATATTCATCATGCGTATTTTCAAGTTTTGCTTCCTTTATGACACACATTCAATATAGCTTGGTCTCACAAAGGCAAAACATCCCGATACAGATTTCAATTTGATTCTGGTCTTAAACATTCATTTCCAGAATATTGCATCGAAAGTGTCACTAGGAAGCGTTATCGAAATTGTAGTTTCTTTTAACATTTAAAGCACTAATTATTGTCATTATTTTTTTTATTATATAAAAAAACAAATTTGCCCTTGTGTGTGACAGTTACTTTAACAATTAAGGCCAATCAAACAAGGACATGAAATCAAAGTATCATTCTCGAGTAATGCTGTAATATTTAAACCTTACACCATCGTTTGAATACATCGCACCTGTACTCTAATGGGAAACTCTATTTTCTCTTTGTTGTGACAATGGTGTTACACTAACCATCTGCAGCACTACCACGGTTTGTAGCACAACTCAATTACACAAAAGTACCCAATACAAGAAAAAATACACCATTAAATAAAAATACTATACAATTGCAGTAAAATACAATGCAATGCAATGGGTATTGTACAGGTACAACTTGATAAAATAGCGAACGATTTGGTATGATTTGGTACTTATATTAAATGCGATATTGTACCAGATGGCAAAAATCTCGGCATTGTTAAAAATTGAAAATAGTAATTATAAAAATAGATCTAACAAACTAAACATAAAATCATTAAATGACTTTAAAAAACATTCTTCAGTGATACTCTATTTCTTCGATGGGACGGCCAAATTGAAGTCCTAAGCAAATCTTAAAAGTAAGGAAATATATATATATATATATATATATATATATATATACTGTATATATAATACAATGCCACAAACCCTAACTCAGACAAAATACCCCCACCCCCCCCCCCACCCACGATGCAAACCTGCAGACTAAGTGAGTTTACATTTGTCTGATTATATATCTCTAAAATATACCTTAAAAACTGTCAGATATTTCCCTATTTAAATAACATTAGTTTAAAGAGTACTCAAGTTTGCCGCTACAGGGAAGGTAATAGAGTGGCTTTTTTATTATCAATAGTTAAGCATTGCATATAAAAATATATCAATATGGAAAACTAAAAGGACTCTTTCTGTGTCAAGTTGCTATTCAGGAGAGGCAATGAAAGCGTTGGCAACGAATGAAAGAGTTGTAGATGACATGTTTAAAGACCAATCCAACATTTCTATAAAGTTTGTTCGAAAAACTGCTTGATTTATTCTTCTTCTTATCGAACATGTAAATTTGAACACACATTCATAATCCATTTTATTTCTTAAATTCAGGAAATCGTTTAGTTTATTCCTAGAAGGAAAATTATAAAATACCATATATAGGCTACAAATAGCTATTGCTAGATAAGATTCTAAAGAAAAGAACTGCATTACATCAATTGGTTCATGACCGTACAGCCTTTCTTGAAATGTTCTATGGCATAAAGAGATTTCAGAGAAATTTTGTAAGCGTCTTCAACGTTTCTTAAATTTAATGTTTTACTCAAAGTATTTTGTCCTTACTTGTAAGTTTTTTTATTGGTAATTAGTTTCCATTTTAAGTTAACCTCAACGTTCAAAAATAAATTTTATTTAAAGGAGATACCGTTTTTGTGACATTTTTCATTATGTAGATTTTCGTTAATTAACATGTGGCGGGTTAACTTAGTGGTTTAAAAGTGGGTCTTCAGGCATTGTGGGTAATTTTGTAGTCTCACTAATCAACATTGTGTAAATCGATGTATTTAGACCGTGACTTTGGTTCAAGACCTCCAGTCATCACATATCACGGTACTTCTCCCACTGCTCAAGGACAGTTATGTCAATTTCGGGGCATTTATAAAGTGACTAATATTTTTAGAAAGTCACAAAAGCTAACTTAACATATATACTTAACATATATAATCCAATTATTCGCTTATTTAGCTTTAAAAAAAAAATGGAAATTCTTAGCTACATTCAACTGTTTCGGTATCAATTCGGCAAAAGGTTTTCTAGTACAACGACGAGTTTCTGGTTTATTGTACTATCTCAGTTTAAACTAT